TTGTATTGCTTTAGCACATCAGGTCATGGCTTATTTCTTTGGTACACCTAGATGCTGTTTGTGTTGGGACATCTTCTCCACTGGCCATTCCTAGGCCTGGGTTCCGTCAATGTGTTGGAGTGGGTCAAGAGAAGCTTTGGACCTTGACTCTCGGTGCTAAGAAGATGCCTCCTGAGGGAGGGAATTGGTCCTCGTGGTTGTTCTTCCGTCCTCCCCGTGCCCGTGGGGAGGTCCCTGGGCCTTTCAGAAGGATGTAGGTATCTTTTGGCTCTTGCATCCAGCTGGTACTGCCCCTCTGTATGTGAAGGGCAGCTCCCTGAGAGGAACAAGTAGGCCTTAAAATGGGAACATGAGAGAGTGTTTGGAGTGATTTCCCATCAGCTGTGCGTGCAGGTAGATGGCTTAGAGCACAGCTCGGCCTCGCTCCCACCTAGCAGTAAGATGAAAAGAAATGTTCGCCTTCGTTCCTTTTGTTCGGGCTGTGCATGTTCCTCATTACCCACACTGTGCTGAAGCAGCGGTAGGAGCCTTGCAGTCTGGTATCTTATTCGATTGCAAACTGAAGAGTTTTAAATATGTATATGTATGCTAGACCTGGATGTGGTCCCATGCAAAATGTAATGAAGCTGGGTTACTCTGACCTCTGAGCTCCAACATGTGTTTGTTTTGGCTCTCTCGCAAAAACCTGCAGTATACAAATTGGCACTTGTAAAATTGTTCAGATAAATCAAAACTGGTACAGAAAAAAAGTTTCAAACTGTTTCTTTTGGGCTCCTTTGCCTTGCTATTTTCACTGTGTGTTTTCAGAGGAGTGTTTTTGTGGCAGCAGGCAGTTTGTTGCTTGAAGAGAGCTAAAATATTCTAGGAAGTCGGGCTCGCTGAATTTAGATCTCAAGTGCTGCCAAAACTAATATAGCCTGAAACTAAGTGAGAGTGACTTTGTGCAGTAAATGTCAGTCACCCGCCGCTTTGTCCCGCGTGTTCATGCGAACCTTTAGGACAGGAAAACAAAAGCAGCCCCCCGAAAACGCGGTAGCGGCTCCGCGGTGTGTGAGGGCTGCTCCCATGGCTGCTGGGCAAACTGGGCCGCGCTGGAAGCGCCGGAGCTGCTCCTGGCCTGCAGTGCCCTCTGACGGCCCCGGCGGAGATCTCCGGGGCGGGTAACCCCTGCGAAGGCGGCAGCGGTTCCGAGTTTAGTTTCCCAGGATGCGCGACACGGGTGATCCCTGTGGGGCGCATTTGCGGTTGGGTTT